TTCTTCTGTTTTTTCGGCTCCCTGCCAGCGAGGCAGGGAGCAATGCACGGACTTCTGACAACTTGTGAAAGAGGGCATATACTCAGATCCTGTATCTAACCGGTTTCACGTCCATATTGTTTTTTTTTTTTTTTTTTTTGCTTTTCATTTCAGAAAGGAACCTCCGTGATGAATGCGGGGCAGGGAACAGTGCACCGACTTCTGACAACTTGTGAAAGAGGGCATAAACTCAGATTCTGCATCTAACCTGTTTCACGTCCATATTGTTGTTGCTTTTTTTTTTTTGCTTTTCATTGCTGAAAGTAACGCCCGTGATGGACGGGGAGCTGTAAACGCCCTCACTGAGGGCATACTCTCACACTGACCCCTGATTCTGTATCCGACTGCTTTCTTGTCCATAGCGTTGTTGCGTTTTTTTTTTTTTGGTTCTTTTTTCTTTTTCATGTTGTTCGTTTGGGAGGAGTACGAGAAAAGAAAATACAACGGGACCCAGGCTCGGAAAAACTCGGTGCGCAGTGAAATTGAGGTTCGTTAAAATCAGGTGCGGGTGTACTTGCGGTTTAAGTTCAGCATTGTGACTCGGCAAGCACACTGAGAAGGGCTTTTCAAAATGGATTCATGGAGCAATTTGCCTTGAAAAACTTTCGCGGAAGAAATAGAGAAGAGCTATGGGAAGTGATTCATGCACACCTCTATTGAGTCCCGAGATATTGCCGTGATGACACCATGCCCCAGATTGACCTGCCCGCTCTCTGTGCTCAGCACCTGCCAGGACATTAGTTGGATTTTGTGAAGACACGCCCACACAAGTTTGCACTCGTTTATACGGTAGCGAAAAGTGACAAGAACCACCCATGAGCAAATACACACATTTACAAAATGTGAAAAGAAAAGCAGTTACCCTTGAACAAACACAAAAACACAAACAAAAACACATAAAAGTACACACAAGTGTACACAAACATAACCTCACACAAACACGCACACATATCATAATCACTCACACACACACACACACACACACACACACACACACACACACACACACACACACACACACACACACACACAAACACACACACAACACACACACAAAATGCATACACTTAAGCGAGCATACGAGTAATGCAAGCACTCACACATAAGGACAGACAAACACAGGAAAGCACAGATGCACAGTTAGGAAAGTGTGGAAAGGCATGCAAATGCACATGCTCGAAACAAGATATACCAATGAGACACACAAAGGCGGGAGCACCATCACCTCAAGGTCGTCAGATGAGAAACAAGATCACCTCTCGAGAATTGACATCGGCAGATCTTGGCTACAGCAAGCACACTGTGCATATATGGGTAGTATACATATCAATACACAGTTGACAAATATCAGCATACCTGAGCATATTACAAGTTCCAATAACTATCAAGTCTTGACTTTGGGTTTTGACCATGCTGTTGATTGACAGACTGTTACTATGATAGCCGACAGATGGTTGACTGCGCACCTGTGCTGACCGTAGCAAGGTCAATGAGACAGGCCACGCTTGGAAAGGCAGGCCTGAGAAAAAAGAAACCAGTCACCCTCAATGATGATGACAGATGGTCCAAGCAGAAGACAACTGTACCTTTCTACGGTGGTAAGGCAACTCTTTGACTGGGCACTCAAAGTAATAACCACTTTAATTTGACATCTGGATTTTTATCAACATGCTTGTCCTGCCAAAATGAAACTACCACATCCACTCCCGCATGTGACTGCACCAATTGACATGAGAATTGGTCTGAATGTACCCACTCTACCTATGACTACAACAAAGAAGCAACGAATATCTTCAGAAACGCTGCATCTATTCTACCCACTTCGCACGGCAATACATCAGCGAGTTGTCAATCCGTACCTGACCTGAGAATTGCCCCGAATGCATATAAAAAATGATATAACGAATGGCATTCCCTGTCTCGGTAACCCAGCAATACTCATGTCATCCACATGGTTGCACCCAAAACCCTAAAACCCTCAACCATAAAAAAAGAAAAAACCTAAAACTGCGAATACTGAAACCCTGAGCCCCGAATCCTAAACTCCAGAACTCTGGAATGCAAAACCTTTAGACGCTAAGCCCTAAAAGGCCTCAATCCTCTTTTTTCTTCAAATAACAGGACAGTTTTTATTACTCACCGAAAACAGGGTCCTAAGCCCTATACACCCTAGCACTAAATCTTTAAGTCCTAAGCCCTCAACAAAGTCCAATGCATCAAGCTTTGAGCCCTAGACCATAAACCCTTAACCCTAAACTCCAAGACCTGAGCACCAGAAACCCTGCACCCTGAACTCCAAAACCGAAATACCGTAAGCCGTGAACCTTAAACCATCCATGCAGCGATTGAATAGTCGGGACTAAAGGTCACCAAAGGGACTAAAGGTCACCAATGTGATATCATAACTCAGTCTCATTGAATACTGGGGAATAAAGGTCACCCATGCGATGTCATAACTGAGTCTCAGGTGGCAATGAGACCGCCAAATAGGTCCACCCACCATACAGCAAGAGTTCCCTTACAGCAATGGGGGATCCATCAGGCCCCAAAACAATGAAACCCTAAGTCCCCTAACCCTAAAACCGGACACACTAAAACGTGAGTCCCCTAAACCTCAATTTGAAGACCTGAACATTCTGACTGATCGACCCTCGAGCCCCACAACCCGGAGCCATGTATGCAGTCATTGAGAAGTTGGGGCTAAGGTTCACCATGAATTCACATAATTCAATGATAATTGCATGAGAACTTGAGAAATTGATAACGCAGATCAAGGTTGCAGTAAGATTTTAACAAAGATGCGCCCACCTTACCACAAAGTCTCCTTCCACGAATGGTAGATCAAGCAGACCTCCAGCACCTTGGCGACACCCTTCATCTACACCCCTCATCCTTCCTTCTGCTCTTTGTATCACTTCACCACTCCCCTCTTCTGCTTTTTCCTTTGCCTTGGTTGCGATGGAAATGTTCATGGAATGACATTTGTCGTGAGAGAACTTGTATACATATCCGTTGTTACCTCCTGGAACTTTTGGTGCACGCATGTGGCAGCTGTCCAATAGCAAAGACGATATGCACTGACCAGATTTTTCTCGAGCCCAGCTGCTTTTCTTCCAGATGTCTGCACGTAAGGTCTGCAAACAAACACATCCAAGAGGAGATGAAAGTGCATGCCGATCAGCATGAAGCTCAGATCACAATTTATTATGTGGCAAACACAACCGATTTCCAATAGGTAGCACACCATGGACGCTCACTAGGTGAGGTGTCAATGTGAAACTACTACCATGTGAGGTGTGAATGCGAGGGGGTATCAAATTTCAAAGCTTCCCAAATTTTCAAGAGTGCAAACACTGATACACTTGTGTCAATTTTTTTTCCCCTTTTTGTGCCAAACTGTTCCTTGTGTGTGTCATCATATCCTATTATCCGCTATATACAACTCCACAAAGGAGAGCATGACTATGCCAGACTGTTTCGTCAGACTTGTGTGTGTGTGTGTGTGTGTGTGTGTGTAGCATGTGTGTATCACATGAGTCATGCGTAAGTACGACACATCATACTTACGCTGCTCCGACCAAAAACCAGTCGGCACACTGTGGGCAAGGTGTAAGGCGCGGAGGCGATCACAAACGCGGCGGGGTAAGACCTTTTCGTAGGCCCATCTGTGGTAAGGGTGAGAAGGGCCGCTTTTGCCGAATGATCATAAGCCAGCGAAATCCACACAGGACCAGGGTAAGAGTGGCAGAAGCACCTAACTTCCTAGGGATAAAATAGAAGCACAACACACATGCAACCACAGATGTATCCGAAAAAATAGAGAGAAGATCCGGTACCTGTCCGCGCGATGAGACAAGGTAGCAACAATCATGCAATCAACCTGGTAATACCGCAATTAAGATAGGAACCCAGTCCGAAAGATGCAACTATAAGACCAGATGCCACGAATAGAACCAGAGCACAGATTCTCAATATCAATTGGTCCGACAAGCGCCATCCATTTAAGAGTGAGGGAGGAGAGAGAGATAACGTAGAGACCCAGTCATGCTGAACCATTTATTCCAAATGACCAGATCCAGGGATAAAATCGAAGCACAGCACACATGCAACCAAAGATGTACCAAAAAAAATAGAGAGTAGATCTCGGTATTCGTCCGAGTGATGAGACAAAGTAGCGACAAGGATGCAATCAACTTGGCAATACCGCAATCAAGATAGGAACCCGGCCAGAAAGATGCAACCATAAGACCAGATGCCACGAATAGAACCAGAGCACAGATTCTCAATCATCAATTGGTCCGACAAACGCCACCCATTTTAGAGTGAGGGAGTAGAGAGACAACACAGAGACCCAATCATGCTGAACCATTCATCCCAAATGACCAGTAAACCCTTCGAAAACACTCGATTATCAAAGATCAGAACATTATTATCCCCGCTGCGAATATTCGTACATGTCATTGTCCATCCATCGCCAGGGGTCAGGAAGGGCACAGAAAAAGTTTTACAGAAGGGCACGGTGTCGGGGTAGGAAAAGGGGAGAGGAGAGGAGGACGAAGATGAGGAGGAAGAAGATGAAGAAGAAGAAGACCCCACTTCAGCTCTCTCCTCCAGGCCCAAAGTGCTCCTGCATCCCCACGGACCATCACGCCGAACACGCAGGGAGGGCATGGCAATTCCCTAAAGCGCTTTTCTACCCCATGCCATTTGGGGCGTCATCAGAGGGAGGACATCTTCCATGGTCTTTGGAAGGCGGAGGGGTCGAGGGAGACCGTGGAGGGGGGTTATGAGAAGGGAATGATGGACGGAGAAGGGGGGTGATGGTCGGGGAGGGGGGGCAGGGGGGGCAGGGTCGATACGGAGGGGGGGAGGGGAGGGAGTAGATGAAATAGAGAAAGGAAAGAAAAGACAAAAAAGAAATAAAAGATAAAAATACGTGCGACGACGTCCCCGACGCTGCCGTGGACTCCATTGGTATCCCTTGCGCACTATCCGCCCACGTCGTCCCCCCAGTTGGCAGCAGCAAGCAGAAAGAATAAGCAGCAGCAACCCGTGAGAAAGAGGGAGAGATAGCAGACAGTGCTCGCGATAAGCGACGCAAAGCCCCTCGTCGAGACCCGTAGAAGCACCCTTTCTGAGAGGCAGGCGGCGAAGAGCAAACTGGCTTTGGCGAGGTTCGGAAGCAGGGTGAGAAGCAGCAGCAGACTGAGGTATGCGCTCTGCGCATACGAAAGAGTGCAGTAGCAGGGAAAGGAGGTCATCGCGGGGCAGGTCGCGGCGCTGTGCATGGCGCAAGCGCGGTCAGGGAGTTCGAACAGAAAGGCCTCACGCCAGCGGAGTTACCACTTCCTCTTCCGCGCGCTGTTCCTCCTCCTGGTCCCAATCGGCGAAGAAGTCCATCTCGATACTCCGATAGACAAGGCTCCCACAGAACCAGGTCGCACCGCGCTTCACTAGCTGTCAGAGCCTATACTAGCACGGTGGACCGATGAATAGTCTCGTCGATGCCCAGCCCTATTATAGCTCCCAACCTAGTCTCGTATAGTACGCTTCCGTTGTAAGCCACCTCTACTATCCATCCGTTTAATGCGTCCATCCACCGGTTGAAAAAAATGAAAAAAAGCAAAAAATGAAAAAAAGCAAAAAAAGCCAAAAAAAGGAAAAAGGAGGGGAACGAAAAAAAGCAAAAACTGCAAGTGGGAACAGGAAAAGAGATCCGAGTTCCCTCTCGGCCCTCAGGCCCATCCCTTAATCCCCCGGGGGGGGCGCATCATGAAGCCAGGGGGTGGCCCCCGGAATAGCTCACGGGGGGCTCGGGGGATGCTCTACCATCGAAACATCTATACGGAAAAAATAGTGTACAAACAAAGTAACAGACATCGGACGAGGAGCTGGGGTCGCAGAGCGCTATCGCACACCCGCATAGGCGAGACAAAACGCAAAAAAAGAAAGAAAAGAAAAGAAGAAAAAAAGAAAAGAAGAAAAAAGGAAAAGGGAAAAAAAGCAAAAGAAAAAGAAAAAGAAAAAAGAAAAAAAAAAGAAGAAGAAAAGAAGAAAAGAAGAAGAAACAAGGAAAAACAACGTAGATGAAGAAAAAAAAGGGGGGGTTCTGGCTCCTGCGGTGCGCGGTCTCATTTCCATCGATTCCCGGCCCAGCTGCCGTTGATAAACCTGTATGCATGTGTGTGTGTGTGTGTGTGTGTGTGTGTGTGTGCACATGTGAATCGTGCAGACGGGCCATGCAAACCACCTCTGCATTGTCCCAGTGCGTTAACTTTGACGATGGATGTCTCAGATCTGACTCGACAGGACAAGCACATGAACAACTATTATTTGTTTTTATCTTTTTTCAACTGTCTCCTTGTCCTGTTTTGGTATCACGTGAAGGGCAACGAGACCCCAAACAACCATTGACATTATATGGGCAGCAATTGGACAGTACTCAAGCTCTCAGTTCATCGATTGCCCGTAACAGGTATGGGATTACCATAGAGTGTGCCCTAATGTCATACGCTGGCCCAGGTACTAAGTTTGATACAGACAACCAGAATATGATCTCATGGCATGGTGTGGTTCAGGATCCTACGCTATCTAGGCTATCATAACACCTCTCTCTCTCTCTCTCTCTCTCTCTCTCTCTCTCTCTCTCTCTCTCTCTCTCTCTCT